CACACCTATAAGAATGACAAATATGTTGTTGCATCTCAAGAGAGGTTGTTGATTTTTATTCGAGATGAAGGTTGTGATAGTATGGCGGGTGTAAATGGAGATTCCGTGATTTATCTATGCCGATTCATAAGTTAAACAAACCATCTCGCGAGTGTCCTTGTCACCCTTACAATCGTGGAACATTCCGCTATCACGTAAGACTTTGGTTTGTAAGCTTAGAAAAGAACATCAACATAAGTCAAAAAGACCTTGCTCTTCCAGTTTCGTAGATCATTTTACGGCGCATCTTTTATAAAAATATTCAGGGTTTTATGTTTTAATCGTTCCAGGATATTGCAAAATAAGCAATGTTACGATGATTTTGAAATATCCAGTGGCGCATCCAAGAATCTTTAAGTTATGAGCCGTACTCCAGCTGAATTATTTTCAGGAATGGATAGCAACAGGTAATTAAAAATCAATTGGGTTACAATTTTTTAAACTTGAGGGTGTAGTTGTGGGTATTACATCACTCTATTGATATCCACACCCATAGTCACACTTTCATATAAAAATAAAGAAATATCATGTTGGAATCTGACCACCTAACATCAATATCAACGATTAATAAAGAAAACTGTATTTAATGCTCACAATTGATTAACAGATATTTCAATATTGTGAGTACATGAATTAAAATTAAAATATGCTTGCACACCAATAAAGATCTACCAAAGTTTATAAAATGTTTTCATTTTTATACGATGAATATTGAACATGAATTGAACCATGCCTTTCTTTATGAATATATTATAAACAAAAATTCTGATCACAAATGGAATATGATTAAAATCTAGATATTCGAGTGTTTTATACCTTTTCTTATCTCAAAAAGTGCTAAATAGTTATATCTATATGCATTCTGACTTACGTATATTTATCTAAGAAAAATTAAATCAAATTGTTCGAATGCGTTTTTTTAAATGACAAATTTAATTGACTCTTCTTGATATTATTTGGACACGTTTGTGTTTATGCTACTGAATTCTTACACTGCTAAAAATGTCTAAGCGATAATACAGATCATTAGTTGGGTTGCAAGTACAAACTTGTCATTATAATTATTGTTGCCTAGTTCTCTCTCCCAAGATTTGAATTCACACGATACTATTGAATTGAACCTAGATTTTCAGAACAGTCAACATTACTTGACAGCAGATAATAAGATTCACATTTTATCTAACAGTTCAGTGCCTGACATTCAGTCTTCGCGTTACTGTTAGTAAATATTGATCACAGGACTATAATCATGATCATGATAAAAAATATGATCGATGCGAACTACTCAAAATTATTTTAGATAAAATCCGTAAATACGGATACGACGGGCCAATACCCATACCTTCGTGTGAAAGCGCAATATATAGAAATACTCCTTAACATTTTCGCAGGCGTGAGTTTTTTTCAAGAACTTCACAATAAGTATACTAAATAATAACAATAGAAATCAGTGTAACCCATTCCCACTTTCACATTCACATTACTAACAACATCATCGATAGTCCTTAACTATCAACATTCGATTATTCAACAAGATCCTTCGGGTATAACGTTTTATTACAATAGACAAAATAAAAGCAAATCGAACACCGGTATATCAAGCACAAACAAATATTCTTGAATAATTGAAGAAGATAATTCATTTAAAGTAAGAGCTAAACCTTTCTTTTGACTCCCAAAAAAGAATTTTCATGAATAAAGATTCTTGATCAATAAAAATTCGCGGATGAGGGCCTGCAGCCCATTATTTCTTGACCACACGTCGACTCTGCTTCGAAGTTGTCTAGAGATAAGAAAAATTAATTACTGATTTTCAATTTGGTCTACAAAATTCACTTACGGCTCGTGATTTCTTTTGTTGATCGATTCTATTATTCTTCCAAGGACTTCGCTTCCGTTTTGAAACACCATAAGAGTCCAGAATATCTCTCAAGCTATCCATTTCCTTGGCTAAAATAAATTATATAACACTTATTCTTGTTCAATTGTTGATTGACGAAAGTTAAAATTTACGTTCGTATTCTTGAATTAGCTCTGTATTGCAATAAAGATTAGTGCAATATGCCATATTCTTCTCATCGATAAGAACTAACTGAAAAGCAAACATTGATGATCGCAGATGATATTCATCTATCTTTTTTTTTGCTCCATTTGTTTCTATTGGATGCCGATCTAAATTTGACTCAAAGATTTAGTATGATCAGTACTCTACGAAAAATTTTTTATTACCAGTAGACGTCAATTGTGTTTGTGAATAAATGGCTAATGTTTTCATGTTTGCTAAAACATGTTGTTTAAGACGAAGCATGGCAAGATATTGGATCCTTAACAACCGAAGAATATCTATATTTAAGAAGAAAATCGAAACGATTCAACCTACTCGATGAAACCATTTGCCATATCTTCTTCGGTGACTGGGATATACAATGAGCCATCATGAATTTTGGCGTAATCATTATCAATCCATATTGGATATGGATGAACCAAAATGAGGGCATTTATGCCGTGTTGTCGTGTAATACGAGTGATGCGCAACCAGACAGTGACGCCTGATGGTATAATTGAACGTAAATAAGGGATCTAAATAAGCTCATTAAAAAAAATTTCTAGATGAATACTTTTGAGAAGAATAGGCACTCACGATGAGTGTTAGAATTCCATCCCAAGGTACAAAGATGTGTCTATTACCCTTTGAACCTTCATCTTCATATCGAGCACGCTGATATGGACATAGAGTAACTGATATTGTCATCGGTTTTACATTCGATATCGATACTAACTGGTCACTTTCTTGAAAGATGGGTGTCTTTGGAGTATCCTATTCGAATAGAATGCAAATGAAACATGTATATGATAATTAATCATTACTATTGAAAACCTACTGATGACTTTACTAATTTGGTAAATTTATTCTTAACAGTAGGATTTTTCTGGACTTCTGTCGCCCCTACTGAAATATTTTTTATAGCAAGACTAGGATTCATTGGATTAATTTCGTCTGTTTGCTTCATAGCTAATTGCTGCTCTATTAGTAAACCATATGAATTTTCGTAAAGTACTGAAAGAAAAGGAATATTAGTAATGAAAGAGCTAAACTATTCACTTATACAAACCATCATTTTCGGCCGTGGGAGGCTCTCCGATCTTGAACACTTCGTGCTCATTGTGACTATAATTTTCTTCTATATGAACAAGAAAATACAAATAAGAATGGAGATTAAAGAAAATTTTGTGCAACATTTACCATGTTGATCGTTATCTTTGAACTGATCGTCCCAATCAAGGCTAACTGAGTCTTCTGGATTATTCGGTGGAATCGAATTGGCTGAATTACTACTCGTTGGAAATGACGATTCCCACTCAATATTTTGCAGCTCTTCTTCTAGCCAGCGAAGTATGGCTTCTTCTTCCATCATAGTATTTTTGAAAAGCTCACTAGAAGAGCTTATTGAATCTGGATCTTTCAATGTGATCGTCAAAAATGCATTTTCTATATCGGCCTTTGGATTCGGACCTTCAAAGAAACTCGGCTTGATTAGGTACGTTTCTACGTCTATTCCATGGAAATTTGCTACATTTTGCATTGACATTAATTTGGCTAAGTCGACCTTTTCAGTTTCTATACAGAAAATTAGAATAAATCAATTTGAAGTAGAGTAAAATAATTACAATGGCAAACCTTCACTGCATGATTCTGATGATGACAAGGAGCCAAATTCTTCCATGAGAAGTATCTATGTTCTGTGAATTTTTTTTCGCTACGATCAATATATTCGTACCAATACAAAAATGAATATCTACAAAAAAAAATCAGATATTAAATATTTTGATCAACTGAAATGTTTCACTTGGAGAAATAAAAAAAAAGCTTCTTCGTCGACAAACAGTAAGCTTACAGTGCAGTGAAAAAACAGAAATGACGATAACTGAAAAGCAAAAAGAATCGCGCAACATTCAGATGGTTTTTTCCAACTTGCAGTTGTTCTCTTTTCTCTATGCAAATAAAAGTATGACTCATATTACTTTTTCATCGCTTTCTTCGCCTGAAAGAAATATAAAATTTCTCTCGCTTTTAATGTCAACCGTTGTTACATATAATGTGAATTACTTTTACTTAATAACAATATCTCAAATAACTAACACTGCAAAAATTGTAAAATGATTCACCTTTACAGACACTCACATGTCGTACATTCATGCACACATACACTCAGTGATGTCTTCTTTGTAAGAATCATAAAAAGCAAAAATTGCCAGCTAACACTAAAACCTGAATTCGTCCTTTCGATCATTCGTTCACCAAAAAATACCCAGTGAATGGTGTAATCTACGTATTTTTATATGATAAAAATTAGTTTTGAAATTATACTTATCTTGATAAGACCTTTTCACATGATCAAGTATGATAAAACAAGTAGAAATGTATGAGAACAAGAGAAACAGTCGAAAAAACTGCTCCTTAACGATGAGTAAGCTTATAAATATAACTACGACAAAGTGCTAAATTGAGATAAAAATAATTCGATTGAATAATGCAAAATAAAACTTTTTTCATAGCAAGATCTTTATTTCGTACCGACAATTAACATTGAAACCATTCAAAAGACAGAATTGCGTTGTTCATTTATTTTTTAAATATGACTAATACTACCTGAAATCGAATTTTCTCTTCATCTCATATCCCGCTTGATGGGTGTGGATGTGGGTGCAAAGCACAAAGGTGGCAACACCCACATCCACACCCAAATATATTTGTCGATCTCTTACTGTTCAACCTGCAGAAGGTTGGGCAAAGTCACAGCTGCCGAAAGATATTCACAAATAAAGATTTTATTGTATTGATTTATTGTTGTTTCAAGAATAGCTCATCAAAAAACGAATGAATAGAAAAAAAAAGAGAAATTTTGAAAATTAGATATTAATCACGACTAAGAGATAGAGATATAAGAAAGAAAATACTCTCATTGTAGTGAGCAACACATGAATTTGGCTCCATTCATTGCTGTATCGTCGCCACCACCCTGACTCGGTTCAAATTTTAATCGAAATCCGCATATTGCTGACCATTGTGGACAGGAAGCTGCTAGTCTCCAATCGCCCCAAGGTGCGCCATTTGATGCTTGGATTACATTTCCATTCGTACAAGTAAAACGACTATCATTAGCTGACGTATCATCGCCTGACCCCTGCCTTGGTTCAATACGAAACTGTGCGCCTTGCAAAAAATTTTTTTCTCCAAAGCAAAGTGTTGGGTCACTCCATGCGCCCCATAAGCCACCGTATGATTGAATTCTTTCCACAGAAATACCATCCGCTCCTCCACAAATTAATTCCAATGCATTTAAGGCTGTATCATCACACCTACGACAAGGAGCTTCAACACGTTGTAAAAAACCAATTGCCCATGTATTCGGACGACAATAGACCCAATCTTTCGCCTCACCCCATGGACCTCCTTCAGGTTCAATCATTGCTGTAGGAGCACTAGAACTTCGAGATGATTGACTTTGAAGATCTTTGAAAGCTGCAGAGTCACTTTCCGAAAGCCCTTCAATTTTGGCGGCTTTTAAGAAAATTATGGCGAAGATAATGCGAATCGAGTACATAGTATTACTTTCTAGTAATGCTAAAACGAAAATCAAATGTGTGCATTGATGCTTTAAATCACTTTGGAGCAGAAATAGCTTCGAATATCAGACCGAGAATGTTGTTATTCACAAAAGAAAATCTGATTATTTTTTCATGTAGAAAGTAACGATTCAGATTGAAATTTATGTAATTTTACATCACATTGTTCTTTAAGAGAGAGATTTCTATATCAAAGGAAAAAATACGTATAGTGAACTGATTGCTTTTGTGTATCAATGTGTGTTGAACAACAATGATAAATAAGGTTTTCTTTTCCATTTTTGGTATCATCTAGTTTCAAGCGTCAGATGAACATTGTGACTTTAGAAATGTATCACGAAATTTGCGAAAATTTCTTTCAGCTTTTCAATGTTATGTACTAATCTTACCTGAGCTGGCAGAGTAATGTGCTGAATACGATAGTCAAAGAACGAATGCACTGTTGAAATCATTTTTGGTTCGATTATTTATATCCATATTCTGCATGAATACATGCCAATTTTCTTCAACACAAATATACTGAATGGCATTAATCATCTTGCTGATTTTCCACGTGAGCAAACACCTATCTTCTAGTAATGTCAGGCACCATTTTCCCTTCCTACTCTGAATAATTAAATAAGTACTATATCACCGTTTTGGAATCGCAGAAGTGTAAGAAAATATACTAGTCACAGCTGTCCAGTCTCGTAAGAAAGATGAAAAGTATCATATTTGTGTCACTCACGAGAGAATACCCCCAGGTGAAGCTCCGATTTTGACGTGATACTTTGCCCATATGTAGACCATAGTAAGGCTAGAAAAACTCCAAAAGGATGTGAGCGTTGCCACTCTTGTGCTTTGCACCCACACCCACACCCTAGTTCTATCTTGGTATAGCCTTTTTATCGTTTGGTATAACCTACAGGCGAATCCAGTTGCGGAATACTCGAATCCAGCTCCGAGATATCCTACGTGAATAGTTGAATAGTTGAATAGTTGAATACTTCAATACTTCAATAGGTGAATACTTGAATACTTGAATACTTCAGTAGTTGAATAGTTGAATAGCTGAATACTTGAATAGTCGAATACTTGAATAGTTGAATAGTTGAATACTTCAATAGTTGAATACTTCAATACTTCAGTAGTTGAATAGCTGAATACTTGAGGGTGTGGGTGTGGAGTGTGGGTGTGGGGTTGGTGTGGGTGAGGGTGTGTGGGTATGGGTGTGCACGTGGGTGTGTGGGTGTGGAGTGTGTGCGTGTGGATACGGGTGTGGGTGTGAAGTGTGGGTGTGAGTGGGTGTGCGTGTGGATACGGGTGTGGATGTGTGGGTGGGTGTGGGTGTGGTGAGTAAACCTACACCTACATCCCACACCCACACCCACGCCGACACCTTACACCCACACCTACATCCCACGCCGACATCCCACATCCACACACCCACCCCACGCTCACACCCTCTGTATTTTGCGCTCAATTTTTCTTTATACTCACTTTTCAGGCGATGATTCATTTTTAGAAAGCTATTGTATTAACTTATTTGATTCAGTACAGCAACTAACACTCATTTTTCAAAGCATATCTTCAGAATTATAGAACATGATTTGGGCTATCAGTAATGTATAGAAAGAAAATTTCCTGAAGTTTTCTATAAGATATTATAGTGTTGTCAGCGTCACTAATTTTCGTATGCCCTAAGTATTTTTTTTATTTTGGAAACATGATAACGATTGTGTTTATCATTTATTCACAGAAAATATTAGGTAGATCTGATGAAAGTTCGAAGATCTGTATGAACTATAGATTCTTGTTCATTTCCTAACAATTCAAACGCATAGACAAGAATCGTGATTAATTGAAAATTGTTGTCTGGAAATCATTCACAAAAAATGTAGAATAGTAAGGATTGTACTTCAAAGACTTTATTAATAGCTTAACCGAAGTCTGAATACAGTTTAGGTGACTGTGAGTATCAGAAATACGATGATTCCTGTGATGGGTTGGATTGATGAATTAAAAAAATTCGAACTAAGATGAAAAGAACTGATCCTATTCACTAATGCAAGTCTCGACGTTCTATCCAATTAATTTGTAAAAACTTAGTGAATAGATTAATTAAAATCATCATCAGTAAATCCTTATTGATGTATCTTCCAGTATATCTTTGCAATGTCTGTTTATTATTGTTTTTATTGGGTTATTTAACTTTAACATGGAAATTCATAATAGAATTACCGAAAATTTTGATAGAACAATCTGTTTACGTCAAATAAACATGAAAGAAACAGTGCTATTTATTCTCGTTCATTACATGAAATTTGTACATCATCATCACTTAAATATGGTATTATTATTCATTACTTATATACGATGAACAAAATGATAAAAGTTTAGTTAGTAAGAAAAAATTCATTGCATCTAAAATCTCGATGAAACGTATTACATCAACGTAAAACAACAAGAAATGATATATAAATATTTTTCATTATATATTTCATTTATATATATTGTTCCGACAGAGTCGATAAGTGTAATTATTAATTAATATATTTCAATAAATAATAAAATATCTTTTTTATCGTTAATAAGAAATTGTTTAAGTAACCGTATTCATTAACTTGGGTATGTACGACACGTTCGGTGATTATTGATGCGGTTGATTGTTCAATCAAGTAACGATGTTTGTTTGGCGGACCTTGTACTTAATTGTATTGTTTGGGCTGATGGTACCCATGAGTATCCTTATTTGAATTCAATTGAAAATGTAACATATCAAATTTTACGTGTTTATCAATGTCATATTTAAGTTATTCTTTTTTCATTGTCGAAAGTTAATACTGGTATGCAAACATTTGAATATGATGATAATATAACATCATCAATATTTGATCAAATAGATAGATCTTCATCGTTTTATTTCAATGATTGGTCTGGTAGTTATTTAAATAAATCATAGTGAATTTTTTTGTCTTTAGTGTTCATTTTAGTATTTTTTTTTGTGCGCATACGAATTTAACTATCAATCATGTAAAGTAGTAACTATCTTTATAAATGCATATTTTTATGACATTGATCAAAGTCACGTGAGCAAAAAGTACTCACTGGCGAATCTTATCGTAAAATTTATTATTATTTTTTAATAAAAAGGTCTTTAATTCCATCATATCAAGTTCATCCACTCAAAATTAATTCTCAAATATAAAACTTCACTGCAGAATCCGATTATCTTTTTCTGTCTTATGATAAATTTCATCACCATTTATAATATCTTGTGTTCATCGTTCATACATCTTGTCATCACGAATTTCATCAGAAAATGAAGAAACAATCTAATATTCTTCAAAAACTGGTACTACATTCATATGAGAACTGAGCAAAATTTGATTTATTTGTTGGAGAAGATACTGTTGATGGTCAATAGTACATATATATAAATTACAGAAAGATAAATCAGAGCATTTTCGATTATCATCATTTATTGACATAACAAAAAGAACGGATAGAGATTATTACAAATGTCTACATATAAAATAACTTATTTCACTGAGTCTTCTTGCATAAAATCTAATCGTTCAATACTAATATCCCAGGAGAGCAAAAGACGGGTAAAAAGACTAGTTAGTTTTACTAGTCATGACGCCCCGTCACTCATTAGTCTTTTTCTCAAAACGACCTAGACATGACTAGTCTCATATTGTTGGGAGTCCGTACACCGCGTCCTGACTAGCCCACAGACGGGCGTCAGTATTTCAATATAGTCTAGTCATTTATACAAAAAGGACTAGTCCAGACTAGTAATAGTTGTTGAAATAGACTAGTCATGTGTGGTCACTTTTTAAGAGAATGACTAGTCAAGACACGGCAACATGACGCCAGTCTGTCACAAAAATATATGGTTTCGTATCTCCTCTTGTCGCCTCCGGACTAGTCCTGACGGTCCGTCATGACACCCGTCCGATATATTTAAAAATTGAAAAATATATGTGTGCATATCGATCATATTGCTAACTACATGCTACACATTACACAACTACTAGTCATTCATACCGTCTGAAATCCGTTCTTTTGTCAGTCAGATGTTGGCGTCCAGACTAGTCTAAATTATAGATGCATAGCGGTGAAGGTTAGACTCGAACATACATACTTTGTGTTACATACCTAGCTTGGCAAGCAGTTGAACCATACACGCTGATGTTTCATCAGTGACACATCTAGCTCTTCCTGACACGTCTTTCACACATTAATGATCAGAGAAGTTCATAATATTATTTAATAAGAATTATTAATTCATGTACTAACAGACTATTTAATGATGTGTATCAGTACAAATCAAAAGTTCTGATTCTTAGTTACACAAAGCACTACCTCAGAAGATTAGATCAAGAAAATTAGATTAAAGAAGTTTTTTTTTAAAGAAATAATTTATTTTTATTAATAATAAAAATGATTTTTATTTGTTAACTATTGTCTTTTAAGTTAGAAAATTCTAAAACAGTGACACGATTACCAGGTTCACATATACAAGCATTTTTTTTCAAGATAAATTTTGGATGCTTAGATGGAAAATGGTTGATGACTGTAATCGTAAAATATTAGGTACTTGATATTGAGCATTAGAAATATTAAATTTAATTTTTAATGTTCCAGGTTTAATTTCTACAAGTTCTCCGATGAAAAGACGAATGGTGGCTTTTTGTAATTGAACAATAGCTCGAATAAGATCATATTTTACTTTATCATGAGCAAAACTGAATGAGATACAACTGTCAGCAACTAATTTTCTGTAAGCAGTCGCAGTAGTCTTTATTAAAACACCTGACATTATCAAAGAATGATAGAAAATTAAATCATCATTAAATAGTGATTGTACACGTGATTCACATGTTTCCTTCGTTTTAAACATCCTTCATATTAAGCCACGAACAAAACAGGTGATTGTGAAATCTTCTTTATATATGTTTAGGAGAGGACGAAGAAGAAGAGAGTTAAAGAGAGAGCTGTTTCTATGGCGAAACCAATGATATATATGTGAATATTCGGTTAGGTATCGCTTGAATACATGACAAAAAAAATTAAAGAACCAATTAGATAAACTAGTGATTCAATCATCAATCTCAGATGTTTTGTATACAATGAAATAAAAAAGAATTTCTTTTTTATAAATATGACCGATCAAATTAATAATATTGTTGATGAAAATTCATACAATTTATAACTTAATGAACAATAATCGTACGATAACGAAAATATGACAATAATAATTGTTTTCATTTTTTCTGTTCTATATGATAAAAACAGTTAAAGATAGAGACAAATCGAAGTTAATGATTTTTAGCATTTCAAACTCAATGAATTTTCCTTATTAATAAAACAATTTTTATAACTGATAATCGATAAATAAACTACACCATTGTAGAATCTTAGATAATTAAACAGTCGTATTTTTCATAATGCAAGTTTGTAACTTTGTTATTCTTAGGTTATGTATACGTACTAAGATGTATTGAATTGAAGGTGACAAAGAGTTTTCATAAACAAGCAACCAGTTCAAACTAAAAATTACATTAAATTTCTGTAATTAGACTAGACTTGACAAGTATTAAAGATATAACCAACTATCGATGTAAAATGTCGTACTGAATTTCGGACTAGTCTGGTTCAGACAGTATGTCATTTCTAGTAAAACATGGCAGTCTTGACTGATGCTCAGGATCTCTCAGACTAGTCCAGACATGTATTTCAAGATTATTAGACTAGTCTAGTCCCGTCATTATATTACCTCATAAGACACTGACTAGTCCTGACGCCAACACCAAATATTTGGGACTAGACTTGACTAGTGCTGATCCCGGCACCAAATATTTGGGACTAGACTTGACTAGTCCTGATCTCGGCACCAAATATTTGGGACAAGACTTGACTAGTCCTCAGAATATCTCAGACTAGTCCAATCCTGTCAGCATGTCGCTTTTTAAAATACTGACCAGTCCTGACGACCACATTCAGTGTTCTAGTCTAGACAGGACGGCTGTTGCGGACGTTTTGGACTAGACATGTCGCCAGTCCTCTCTTTTTTTTGCTTGCCTGGGATCACATTCAGCTCATATTGTCTCAACTGAATATTCTTGTAAAAGTTTTTCATTTTCAAAAACAGTTATCAGTTTTCACCATTAGATAGAGGAATCTTAAGAGCATCTATTTGTGTGAGATTCATTAGGACCAAAGAAATCTTTTATTGTAGATCTCTAATTAATGTAGTTTTCGTATAGACCTAGGCTCAAATTACATCAAAAGTAGCTTGGAGGACACTGTATGTGTGACAAAATTTTCAGTTCATTCTGTCATTGTCTCGAATACGATAATTCTTTGAAATCTTGAGATTTTGACGCGAATGCAGGACCCTCTGGGTTATATTTTGGTGTAATTTGAGCCTAGTTCTATATGAAAACTAACGAAAATGAGTAATAAAAAATATATCAATGAGAGATCTACAATAAATAACTTCTTTGATCCTGATGAATTTCAGACAGATAGATGCCGCCAAGGTTGTTCTATCTAATGGTGAAAAGCTGAACTCGATAGCTTGAAATGATCAAAAGTTATTCAAAAAATTATCGTTGAAATTTAATAATAATATTGATTGTAATTTAATTATAACTGTTAGACAATAATTCTTTTCATTTAAATGATTAAAGAAATTAAGTATAATTGAAACATTAATTTCTTATCAAATTGAAATGGGGTGTAGGTGTATGAGTGTATCGGTATTGATCTTTAGTCCACCTACACCCACATCCACATATATTATTCTGCTTTGTGTCCTCATTCTTCCTTGTTGATATATCAACGAACAGAAAAGAGAAACAAAAGAAAAAACGAAAGCACGGTGCCAAGAGCAAAAGGAAAAGAAGATTAAGAGGATGTAACCATTATCTTTTTTATACAACACAAGCAAACAGAAATGCGTGTTACATCATTCAGAATCGAGAAATGGATGATGGTACTTTGATATCTAGTGTAAGCGTACCTTATTTATGAGCAGGGATATGATTAATAGGTTTTTACTACTTAAAGTTATGAGTGACGTTGAAAATTATGTTGATTAATGATTATAACGAAACTACGTTCTGAATAAGGTTCACAATTATAACTTTGATTGAAAGTTATAAGAGTTGCAACTTTATTGTGTATATTTGAGGGTGTGGGTTTTCTTTACTAGCATCCACACCACACTCACACCCTCAATAGATCAATCTAGAACTTTTTGTTTTTTTAGGAATGTGTTCATGATAATTCTAAAATTGATATACACGAACTACGTAATATCTTTAGTGCAGGCATATCCAAAATGCTTCATGATTCATAGAGGTTATCATGAGATCAAATTCATATACTTCAATTCAATAAAACTGTCATGCGTTTGTAGTGACATCTTACATTTATTTGTTTGCTTAATCAGAGTATCAAAGATGATCAAAATTCGTTATTTTTCTTTCTATGATATTGTAAGTTCAAATTTAATCATTTGAATTTTTCATCACATAGAATTTTGTCAGATCACGTGTTACTTCTATAGTTGATTCTTACCTCCACTTTGAATAAATAAAAAAACAACGATTCTTTCTTTAAAAGAAAGAAAAAATCTCAATTTTCTTTCTGTTGTGTGTTTGCTTCATAGCAAATATTGTCTGATGCTTTATTACATATATTAAGAATAAACTGTAAGTGAAATAAAACAATGCAATGAAGTTAGAATTGTTACCCAACGAAATTTTACTCGATCTATTCGAGTATTTCGATGATGTTGATCTTTTTCGTGCATTTTTTGGTCTCAATTCTCGCTTCAATTTTCTTCTCTACAACCAACTTCGAACTTATTCTTTTAATTTTTGTTCTATCTCAAAACGTAATTTCGATATGATATGTCAACAACATTTATCAGTCATTGCTGATCGAGTTATTGCTCTTTTTCTTTCTGACAATGATGATACTCCAGAACAAATTAATCTATTTCTTTCTTATGCATCATCATTTGGTCAATTTACTCAATTGCGATCACTTTCACTTTTGAGTATTTGTTCATATGGAACACTAATGAAAATCTTGAATGATTGTCAATATCTTTCTAATCTTAGTCATTTAAATATCTACTGTAATTATCTTCGATATAATCCAGTTGATCTTCAACTAATTATCAACAGTATTTGGAGTTTACCGAAACTTATCCAATGCGATTATAGAATTCGTACCGATATAGAAAATTTTTTCATTATAACGAGAAAAATTTCATTATCCCTCGAAAGTGTCTATATAAACACAAATAAAATTAGATTAGATAACATAAATGAATTGTTTAATTATACACCTCATCTTAAGCGTCTTTTTCTATCTCTTGACTCTATTGATCATCCATATATATCGTATTATACACCATTGACTCTTTCAACATTAGCTGATCTGAAACTACATGTGCATAATGTCTCTGATGCCATAATAAAAGGATTTTTTAAAAATATCATGCCTAATTTATATCGTCTGGATATCAAATTATCGTCTAATTTAATCAAAGGTCATCAATGGGAACAAATCATTTGTAACTACTTGCCAAAACTTGAAATATTTCGACTTAGAATGATAACACCTTCTTTCATTCAAAATATAGAGAAACACGCTGATGAATTAATTAATTCATTTCGAACTCCATTTTGGATTAACGAACATGAATGGTTTGTTCGATGTTTTGTACGAGAAGACACTCTTTATCTTTATACTTTATCTGAAACATTTTATTATAATGATTATGAATTTCCTCATTCATTCAAATCAACATATCCACATGATTATCATCAAAAATTTTATAATAACATTATTAATATCTATGATGACACATTTTTTCATCAATCAATTTCTTCCGATATTCATTTACCTAATATTAATTCTCTTTGGATAAAATTTCCTATTAATCATAAATTTTGGTCTATTGTTTCAAGTTTGAATCGATTAAAGTCACTTACAGTATCATCCTATGATGATATTTATAATTCTCAATTTCAAGTTTTACTTGATCGTGCACCTAATCTCCGTCATTTAGATATTCGTCAAGATAAATCATTAACTTTACAAATGTCATCATTCCAATATATAAATGCATCAGTTCATCAACTTGACTTAAGAAACTGTAATCATTATTTCACTGCAGATGAATGTATTACATTAAGTCGTTCACCATTAGCTGTTCAGTGTGAAGTTCTTTCTATTCTGGTTGACAATCGCGAAAGTATTATTTATCTTGTTAAAAATATGATCAATCTTCGGTCATTATCATTAAATGTCAAATTTGAAGAGAAAAAGAGTTCTGGATTTTTTACATGGTTATGGAAGAGAGATCCATCTCTTGATGAAAATATTGAAAATAAAGATATAGTTCAATGGTTAAAAGATCGTTTGTCATCAACGTGTTTGATTAAAAAAAATCAAACTCGGCTAACTGTATTCTAATCTGGATTTGATAATAAAAAAAACAGAAGTAGAAATACTGATTAATCATAAATAGACATTATTTTGACTAATTTTATTCAAACATAAGAATTTTTCTTTGTAGAAATAAAATAAAACCCAATCATATTGACATAATTTACTTTGTTATCAAGATCTAAGCAGAAATGGATAGATGATTTTTATTTCATGATCAACCGATCGTTTTAAATTGGTAATTATTAACAAAAGTTTCTACTTACGAGTACTGAAAATACTTAAATTGAGTTCGTGTAAGAACAAATCTTGAATAGTGAACTTCTACAGCTAAGTATTATATGATAATAGACGTTTCCTTGTATTTTACGATGAATTCCAGTGATTTTTAACTGTCTGTTTTTTTCCTTCCTGAGACATTCAATTTATCAGATAATTGATGTCCTTTATATTTTGCAAAATGGCAAATCTGCCTATTATCGCTTCTCGTGATAAAGATATAGATAATTAATTACTGAAAACTTTTTAGAACTAAAAACTCTCCTCATTAGTCTAATTCTACACAACTATTTCTACCATATATGGTTTCGTTGCACTTCAGGGCTCGAATTCCTAATTCAACTAATGTATAACTCAAAAATATATTTCTAGGAAAATAAGTTTTGAAAAAAATTCGGAGCATACATGTAGGTAGAGAAACACAAAGATCCTTCTACAGAGCAAAGCAAAGTCAAACATATCTTGTTTCTATGTACTTAAAAATACTCGTTTTCGCATCAAAACTTTTCGTTCATTCATATGCAATCAATTCAAACTAGTTTTTCTCAAGAAATAAAATGAAATAACTTGTTATAATATATATATATCGTCAAGTAGCATGTTTATCGCCTAAATTGCGAATTTTTTTCTCAGACATGTTTTCATAGCACCATCACTTCTGATCTTCGACACGATCCAAATTGAATATATTTACAGCGTCTGTGTTGGGATTCGTCACTCTATTATTTGTGACTTTTCAGTATAAACGATCATATCTTCGATTCTCCAAGCGAAGATAAACAACGAGCAGAGCAGCGGTAATAAAACTCACAATGCAGCAGGTAAGATTGATAGAATAACGTAAAATAAAACGAGATGCATCTTGAAATCGGTAGATTTGGCCACCGATGACTCCTCCAATATTATATATAGACATCATGAATGCTATCACTGTGGCTCGTTTCATATGAGAACTTACATTATACGACAGAAAGCTGACACATATAGCTGAAGATGGTGACAAGCTGCCAGCTGCAATAAGAAATCGCAAGATATTTTAAAGTAAAATCTTCCACTAAAATTAGAATTAGATAAGCAATAGGACTAATTATTGACCAGAACATGATGAAGATGCCACGCTGAGCATATTTGTCGGAAAAATAGACACTAATCATTGTGATAATAAATGCAAAAGCATAGGGTGGTGCTGTAAGAAGTTGCGCTTGATAAGTTACAAAACCTAAACTAGCGATGATAGTCGGAGAGAAGAGACTAAGAGAAAGAACTAGTATTATGAAAGCGATGCCACACAATGATCAAACGTATAATTTCCAATTTAAAAATGCCGAGCCAACTCGAATCCAGCTAAAATGTTTGCTGGCATCAGATTCAGCATTAGCACGTAAAGCAATAATGACACGATTATATTCATTTTCAGTAAGAAATTTTGTTCGATCCGATAGAAAGTTATCGATAAAAAAACAGGAAAGTACTCTGACGATAACAGTGACTGCACCTTCCATATAAAAGATCCGACGCTAACCTCCTTGACCCCATAAACCATGCATATGATTAATTCTATAGGCTAAAATGCCACTAAAGGTACCAACAAGAGATACATCACATAAAAGAATACTGACACGCCACGATATTTCACGTCTTTTGTACCAACTTGATCAATAAAAATTGATTCCTATAGAAGACACTATAGAATATACGTTTGTATAATTAGGGTGTGGGTGTGGGTTCAGATGTCGATCTCTTCTTTACTCACACCCATACCCTTCCACTCATACATCAAGTAGCAACAATAATGACATTTAAAAATGAACATAATCGAATATTAGAAGGAGCTTTAAAATTTACTCTATCTGAAACAGCAACTATATGTGGATTTGGTAAGTCAATTTTATTTCTTAGAATTACAAATCTAAAAATAAAAATTTTGATATTTATTTTTCATAGGTCTTGATGTTGATGGTGTT